GCTCTTGACCTGAATCTCCCAGTTAAGCACGCAGGCTTAGTGCCAATTAGGCTGCCAATTATTCTGGGGAAACTAACTGATAAAACTCTGACAACGCATAACTGGCACAGGGAACACGGTAGGAGCGCAGAGGCTAAGCAAAAAGAAAGAACTGCTACAACTGGTCGATCTCGACCTGAATCCCCCTAATAAGCACGCAGGCTTAGTGCCAGTTAGGCTGGGGAAACTAATTAATAAAACTCTGACAACGCATAACTGGCACAGGGAACACGGTAGGAGCACAGAGGCTAAGCAAAAAGAAAGAACTGCTACAACTGGTCGATCTCGACCTGAATCCCCCAAAGAAGCACGCAGGCTTAGTGCCAGTTAGGCTGGGGAAACTAATTAATAAAACTCTGATCAACGGATAACTGGGACCGGGAACACTTCAGGAGCACAGAGGCTGACTGCCAGGAAAACTGGGAATTATCTCCACTAACGTACCCAACCGGCAAGGCACGTAGCCCAATAACCAGTAAGGCTGCCATAAAAGGCTAGGACAGGACATTGAGGGTAAACAAATGGATAACGACCCTGGCTAGATGTCTGTAACATTGCCCGCAACCTAACTGCATCAAACGAGACTTATGTCGCCTCCTAAAGAGCGGTTCCGGGACAGCTGGCCTAGGCATACATAGAAACTAAATATATCAAGTAAACGAGCAGGTGCAAAACTGAGATAACTGTACAAGTACATAAAATAAGAAACGCGAAAAAGCTGAAAACTAGCAGAGCTGAGCTACCGCTTACAAACTGAAGTAAATGCGGTCAGACGGAGGCCAGAAAAAACCTGCCCAAAAAAACCCCGAAGGGAAAAAATGAGGGCAGGAAATCTGGGTAGGAACCAAGGTTCAAGCTCAAAGCCCTTCCTACGGGACTTTAATGTAATCGAGAATAGGTTGCTCCTAAAAATAAATAAAACAAAAAATTAAGAAAAACCAAAGAGAGGTTGGTTCGTAAGCCTAGATGACGTACACGTGATATACGCAGCCTTATATACCCCCGATATGGCTACCCATGGTGCACCCGGCCTAGTATCCAGGCCCTGTTCTATCTCGTGCCGTTAAAATATTTATTTCTGCCTTCTTCGCGGGCTCATTCGTCAGAAATAACATTTCACGCTTGCATTGGTCACGTCTTCCGTAAATATTAGGGAATTTTTTTAAGATACCACGACTGCTGACAACCACGAAAACTTCGCATGGAAAAGGGATTCACATTTTTTCAGTTTCGATCGTGATTATTCCAACTCGCTTACTTTGTCAAGGCAAGCGAACTCTTCAGGAGCTTCTATCAACAAAACATAGAGTTCACGAAGAGAATGAATTTTGTCATTGCTTGTTTACGTCCTTCACAAAACATGAAATTTTACATTTTCACAGGTAGTCATGCAGTTGACGGCAAAGAAATGTACAAAAAAGTGTGATGCACGTGCAAAGTTGTTGTTTTGCCTTGTCAAGCTTAATCGCTTATTTGACTTTCTCGTCGCCGCCGCATCTTTATATTCCTATTATTTACGATTGTGATGAGTCAAAAACAGAATATTCTCCGGGCAAATTGAACTGCTACTTCTAATAGCATCCCAAACGTTTTTTCGACTCATCTGTAGTTCCTTCTTTTCTGGTTAGGAAACTACAAAATAAAAGTTTCCCTTGCTCGCACAAGCTTGGTGAACGAACCGGGCAAATGTTGCAAGGCAATAGCCGTCGTGTACGAACTCACGAAAACAACTCAGGAGCAACTGTTCGCCGATTGGGCACAATAATACAGAGCATTTTTTGTGCCCAATCAGGAGCAGGCGTCTGCTTGAATTTTTGGAAATAGTTCGGTGAGAGTCGGTACCCAGGGGCCCTTTCGCCCGTACTTGAAAACTTTCGTCGCGCCTTTTCTCCAGACCCGACTGACTGCCCCTGGGTCTCCGAGGATGAATAAAGGCCAATTCACTTTTTGTTTATTTACTGACTTGAAAAAGGCTTTCGACACGGTTAATTATGATATTCTTCTCTCAAAACTTGAAAATTATGGCTTCAGAGGAGTAGTGAATAATTGGTTTAAGTGGTACTTAATTAGTCGTAGACTGTATACAACTGTAAATGGTTATACTTCTGATTCTCATCAAACCCTCTGTGGGACCCTTGCTTTTTCTCTTGTATATTAATGATCTATATAAATCCTCAAATAAGTTTCAGTTTTACTTGTTCGCCGATGATACTAGTTTAACTTATGCAAACGGAGATCTTAAAAAACTTGAAACTGAGATTAACGAAGAACCTTTCAAAGTATGCTCGTGGTTAGTTGTCAATAAATTAACCTTGAATATCGAAAAAACTAACTACATCATCTTTCGTCCAAGCCAAAAGACTATTTCTTTTCATCCTAGTATCAAAATAATTAATAATAATTCAAATACCAGTCAACCGTTAGAAATAAAAAATTATATTGGATATCTTGGTATACTCATTGATTCGAACCTTTCATGTAATATATCAAACATGAGACGCAGTGTTTCATCACCAGATGAAACACCGAGAAGAGAGTTGAAAATACGACGCGCAGCGGAGTATTTTTGACGAACTTCGAGGTGTTTCATCTGGTGATGAAACACTGTGTCGAATGTTTGATATTTCTTCTCAAACAAAATCATTTTTGAAGGAGAAATTAAGGATGCAAATACTGAGCAGTTTTTCATCCGATTTCCAAACACTCATTAAACATTAATTTTCTTTGTATTTTCTTTATGAATTATTAATGAGTTTGAGAAGGAAATTTCATATAGATTACGTTTGTCAAAAAGTCAGTAAAACAATCGGAATTATCGCCAAGCTCAGACGTTTTGTTCCTCGTCATGTACTTTTCACTTTATACCGCTCTTTAATTTTGCCTTATATCAGTTAAGGTATCTGTGCTTGGGGTCATGCTGCTGAAACGCATCTTCATAAACTACTGGTTCTCCAGAAGAGAGCCCTTAGGCTAATGTTCTTCCTGATTGGCAAAAACTCATGCAGTTCTGTTGTTCTTAGAAACAAAACAGTTGCCGATATCGTTCTTGCTATTTGAGCAAATGAGCCTTTTAACGTACGACGTCCATTATAATCTCGCTCCTGATAACAATAAGAATATGTTCACGAAACTGTCTTCCGTCCACAGTTACCGGACTAGATCTGTTACTAGTGAAAATTACTATGTTGAACAGGCTAGAACTGAAAATATGAAGCGAACCTTCTCCCTGATTTCCGGTGTTTTAATTTGTAACAGTATTTCACTTTCTATCAAAACACTTTAAAAAAATCAATTCAAAAGCGAACTAAAGAGAAAACTCTTTGAAATACTGGAAAAAGAGGACGACTTTATTAGAGTTTCTGATATTACAGGGCAATTCTCAAAATCGTAACATGGTGTACTTCCGTATGAAGTACAGTCTGCCTTCTTGTCTCACTCTGGCTATAAATCACACGACCAACTAGATTGCTTCTAGGATTGTTCGTTTAATATATATATGTATATATATATTTATAGAATTTTCTTTTTTCTCTTGTACCCGCCTCGAATAGCCTTCGCTAATTGCGGGCACAAGCTTTGTAAGCTATATTTAATTTTAAATGAACGAGCATGAAGCAAAACGAGCAGAAGACTGGAGCAACCAGTGCGTCAACCGTAAAAAATTCCTCCAAAACACCTGAATTTCAGCACATTGATTCTTATGGTCCTAAAGCAGAACATTCACAAAAAGGTGAGATAAACATAACTTTAATTTAGCGCTGTCAATAATGAAATTAACCCTCGCACATACATACACATAAAGTCATACTCTCACCACCGTGGTACAAGTTGGGGGCGGGGCGGGGGGGGTGGGGGTGTGGCAAGGGTTGATGGAACCCGGTTTCCCTAAGGTTACCTTCAATAGAAAGCCTTTGATCTTCTGTACAAGGTGAGGTATATTTTATGTGGTGGCTCTGCTGGAGGCCTGTGACGTCGCAAAAGATGGTCGCCATCCTGGCCACCATCTTTGATTTTACAAAGAATTAGAAAAGAGGTAAAAACGGCGACAATTGGTAATTTTTGGGCTTGACATGTAAAATAACACATAAATAAGTACTTCGCTTTACTTAATTCACAAGATTTGCTTTTATTGTTGAAAGAAGTTGAAAAAGATACATTTTAACTCAAAATTAGCTTGACCACCTGCTACTTATGATATCATACCTCGTAACCATAGTAACTAATCATCTTTAAGCTTGTCTCAAAATGCGCGTGAGGGATAAACAACGGCCACTGAAAACTTCAAGTGCTGAAGGAAGGAACCTCTCGAAGCGAAAACTTAAAAAAATATAAGCTTTTAGCTGCTCTAATCAAGAGAAAGCAAAAACTCGGGAGGATCGATAATTCTTTTGGAGTTTTGATGACTCTGACGTAAAAACCAGCAATAAAAGTTACATCATGTTGTTTACCTTCCAGATTAAGGAGGCGAAACGACAGAAAGCCCATTTTGCGTTACGCCACGTCATTCATGACTCACATTGATTAAATAATGGAAGATCAACCTGACAGAGCGCTGGAGTGTATTTCAGTCAAGTTATCACTTTTCTCCATCCCTAGTCTTTACCCTTCAAATCTGAGTATATCTTGGACGGAAAATGAAGACCGCAGGTTATGACCAACGAGAAATACAGTTGAACCTCCATCAAGCGATCATCTAGCTATTTAGCGGCCAGTTATAAAGGAATGCGGAGCCCTACAGATCCTGACTAACAGTTAACTGCAGTCAACTCTCCATAAGACGAACGCCTTTGGGACCTGCACTATGTGTACTGTCTTAGAGTGATGTCCGTTTTATAGAGAGTAACCTTCAAGGGAGTTAAGAAAGGCAGGGACCCACTCTTGGTGTCCGGTTTAGCAAGATGTCCGTCTTATAGAGGTCTCCGTTAGAAGAGATATGACTGTAAAAGTAAACTACAAACAAAGGTGATAAATTGTGAACTTTCGTGTTTTGATATAAACTTGATGTTTCATATCAGTGCTAGTCAACATGCATTTGAATTCTCAGTCTCATTTCCAAGACCCCTTGTAATTTTATATAAATAGTCTCGTCATAATCTGTAACGGCATAGATCACTTTTGAAATTTTTTGTTGACTAGCATACGAAACGTCAAGTTTATAAAAACATAGGCACGTTTAACGTGTATGAGCTATTTTGAGTGCTTCAGTTTAACCGTACCAAGAATCTACTCTGTTAATCCTAAATTTAGACTTTTTTTGGCCGACTACCTCGTTCCTAGATGTCTCTTGAAAACACAACTGCAAGTGATCAAGGAGGTATCGCGCAATAGACCACAGGAAGGGAAAGGAAGCTGGGAAGGGTAAGCCTTTCCCATGAAACCTTGAGGGGAAACAAAATCGCTCCAGGAACTCTCGAACGCGATCCTCTAGAACGCGCCTGGGTACGAGGCAGGTCGGCCGAGCTATGCAAGATGACTGATATAACTATTGTTTATGGTAGCCATTAAATTTGCTGAGAATTAAAATTCACCCATCATACTTACAAACTTAAAGCTTTTGCATACTTGAGGCGAAAGATTTGTGATAACATCTTACTGCTTTGAACCTTTTTTCAAGTATAATTTTTTGTTCCAAAACACCAAAGGAGCCAAAATGGTTGACCCTATGACACTTATGACGTCACATCTCGTGACTATAGCAACTGACTACCTCCGAAGTGTTCTTGTTGGAAGAATATTTGTTATCGAATAATATTCTCCTCCTCCTCTATCTGTGTAATTCTTCATATCACACTTCAGCCAAATCGAACCATATTGTTTTCTGATCAAATTGATTTAACATTCGGTTCCCAGGCTAAAAACATGCTAACGTCAAAAGGGAGCTTCCATAGTCCACTCTGATGACTTAAATATTTAAAATAAATGTTCATTAGGAAAGAGATCAGAAGATCTTTGTACGGACATGAGGCCAGGTGTCGCTCATATCCTCGCAATACTACAAACCTGTCTTATATAACAGATTTTTTATAGTGTAGTATCAGTATCTTTGTGTTTAAAGCAAAAACTATATGAATTTTAGTAAACTGGATATACTTAGTATTTGAATGCCCCTTCAGTTGTCTGGTTCGCCGATATTAGGCATTCGTTCCCTGCAGTCACCTGCACGTTTAGAAAATGGCTAATTGACGACAGTCGTATAGCTGGCAGACTTCTTCCAAATTTGGTCAACCATATAGCTGGTTATCAAGGGTATTAGTCAGGGAACCAAATTAAGTCACTCAGAAAGGAGAATGTTTCGAATGTACGCCATAGATAAAAGTATGGCGTACATTTGCGGACAAAAATAATTGAAAATAAAAGACAATTTGAAGTTCAAAAATTAGGCTATCCATGTCGAAATCGCGTCATATGAATTTGAAATCACAATGAGCTCTGTCGAAATAGCATCATTCGAACTTGAAGTTACTTTGAACAAGTTGAAACTATAAAGGGAAAACTCGACATCGCGGATGTTGAAATTCAAATCACCACTCCAACTAAAATGCAAATTGCATGATTTGAACTTCAATTCACCTTCTCCTCTCTAATAAGCCACTTAATCGTCAACAATACAACTATAATCTTCCACAAAATTCCAAATGAAACCTTTAATTTGAAATTGAAGTCACGTCACATATTCGAATTCTAAAAACCAAAATTTCAATTCGAAAGGAAGCGGAATTAAGAATACACAGGAACCGAGTAACGACCAGGTACGAGTCTATAGATGGGAGGCTTGGAACCGGAGCTTTCCTCATCTCTGACGTGATCATCGTCATGGCTGCTCGATGGCTACCGAATAACGAAGAGTTTTTCGCTGGACTGGTTAGACTGTTAGAGGCATCAGAAACTAATCTAAACTCAGCATCATATGATAATTCTGAATTTTTATTTCGTCGACTTGATGCTCACGAGAGAACTTTGTCAACTCTGCTAACTGTGTTGACAAGCCTACACGACTCCTGCAGTTGGCGGATGAATAAATTCTAATAAAGCCTTCATAGCTTAGCTTTAACTAGGATGTCCTTTAGGGATTTTCCCTTACTATATGAGATGATGGGGGCCCCTTAAAAATTTCTCTCAGTTGCGGTTGATTTTCTATAAGGTGCCATTACCCCATGGTATTGTGTTGCAAAGGGCAGTATTTTCTTAGGTGCGGTTTTGTTTTTCTGCGCTAGCGACATTTCTCTATCAGAGAATTTAATCTCTGAAAGGTGTTTTTCTACAATTCTAGCTGGGTAATCTCTATTCTACAGGCGTGTTTTGAAATTACTCATGTTTTCCTCAAAAGTAAATTGAGAGGAATTTGTTCCCAGAAGCCCTAACGCTTCTCCTTTTATAAAGTTTAAGTTTGCCACTACAGCCCTCACAATCTGTTGGATTGTCCTAGAGTCGCCCTTATCATTCACATTGTCCGCCATATTGATCATAGAGTTCGAATTCGCGCCAAAATGCAGTTTTGCAAACATCCCGTATGTACAGTGTAGCGAAACTCTTATCATTTCCGGTTCCTGTGTATTTTTACTTCCGCTTCCTTTCGAATTGAAATTTTGGTTTTTCGAATTCGAATATGTGACGTGACTTTAAGTTCAAATTAAAGGTTTCATTTGGAATTTTGTGGAAGAGAATGGTTGCATTGTTGACGATTAAGTGGTTTATTAGAGTGGAGAAGGTAAATTGAAGTTCAAATCATGTAAATTGCATTTTAGTTGGAATGGTGATTTGAACTTCAACCGTGCGATGTCGAGTTTTCCCTTTATAGTTTCAACTTGTTCAAAGTAACTTCAAGTTCGAATGATGCTATTTCGACTGCGTTCATTGCCATTTCAAATTCATATGACGAGATTTCGACATGGATAGTCTAATTTTTGAACTTCAAATTGTCCTTTATTTTCAATTATTTTTGTCCGCAAATGTACGCCATAAGATAAAAGCTGGTACAAGTCTTAGAACCCGCCTGTTTTCAGCCATGTCAGTTATCTAAAATCATTTAATTCATAAATAGATAAATAAACTAAATAATGTGAATAATAAAGGCTGTTAGAACCCACCAGTTTCAAGTTATGTCAGTGATTTAATTAATGATAAAATGAATGACCCCTTTATTATCCCTAATAAGTAGCTATAAGTAGCCGAAGCATTTGGGCTATTAGCTGTTATTAAAAGCTGAATCATTGGACTGATTGGCTTAGCCATCATGGAAAATGAGCCATTATACTGATTATACCATGCTCTCCAAATATGGTAGCTGAACGCGTTTGCTCAAAATTAAAAACAAGTTGAAAATCGTCCTGTTTTTTCAAATAAAGTCGGGAAGATTTCTTGATATTTTGTGCCGCGCCGTTTTTGATAAAAACAATTATTCCACTCGCGCTTGTTGGATATAACATGATTATAGCGCCTCGTTGGTTATCTACCATCTCATATCCAACGTGCACTCATGGAATAATTGTTAAATTGCCCAAATGTTTCCGCTATTTCAAAAACCTATACCCTGTCCCGATCCCATTCAGGGCCCCACTGAAAGATAATAACAATAACAATCAGATAATTTCAAGTTATAATCTTTCAAGAAACAAATAATACCATGTAACTGGAAACCGAACCATGATTGATTTGAAAAGTCAACACTGTTTAGCAATATGAAACCGAAAACCGCACCTTTCAAGAGCAAAATCGTGAGAAACGAGTATTTAAGCTGGCTCCCCTTTGCGTTCTTCGTCGAGTTCTTACCCCTACCACACTCTGCAATATTATGCACGGATTAGCCGTGAAATAGCGCTCAGTGGTAGCATACAGCTAATGTAATTGACAGTGTGTTTAATTCAGACGTAAAACGAATACCAATGTGACCATTTCGTATAAAAAACGCTTTTATCTAGGCGGGGGCGACTTTTAAAACAATCAAAACAGTTGATGCATACTTAAGTAAATTATTTAATTTTCAGTTTCGGTGAAAACGTGCACACAAGTAACCTCCAACGGCACGTTTTCTTTCATCTGTCCTGACATGAATATATGTTATACACAAAAGGAACAAGGAAATTTGACAGTCACAAGAGCCACTTGCCAAGCCATGAAAGCGAAAGGTAAACTACAACTACAGTACTTATTCTTAACAATCAACTTATAATTTCTGTCAGAGCTTCGGTTTCTTGAAGTTACATTGATAAAATATTTTTCTTGTGGAGTGAATTTTTCCACGGTGGGCGAAAATGCTACGCGTAGGAAGAAGCCAACGCTATTTTATGCTAATGTAATTTCTTTTTATATCTGCAGACGTACTTCCTGTGAAAAGACATTCTTGCATGACCATGTGAGTCACCTCTATTGGAGGATTTAATCCGGTTTTAATTGAGACAGAGATAAGAAAACTATTCAAAGGAAATCGAAATACAAACTTAAAACTGACAGATGTAGCGTAGGCTACATTTAAGATAAAATCTCGTTTCAGCTGGTTCCAGTTTGCCCTTGTTTGCTCCATTGTAGCAGCAAATGCAATATTTTAGTGGGTTAGCGGAAGTCATAAAAACCCGGAAGTCCCCTGTTTTAAATCTACAACCAGTCTACAACGTTGCTGTAACATTCGTTCTACGCGACTGAAACAGCTGCAAGGGTGCAAGAAACGTCCCGGGACAATGAAACTACTTTAAGGCCATTTTAAAGTTGTTTGAAATAGTGTCATGGCCGTTCGAATGTAATACTCTGAATGGAAGGAAATATCATTAAATTCAATACCGAACTGTGACGCATACACAACATTAAAAGAAAAACAGTTTACTATATTTACTCTATGATGACCTCGTGACTGCGTACTTAAAATTAGTTTCGAAAACTCCCTCAACATAAAGGAAGTAACTACAAGGTTTTTTTTTATATCCGCTCTGCATTTCTTGGCGGCAGTGCCTTGGTTTACACATAAAGTAAGGTCTCACTCGTCCAGCGCTCCAATTTAAGCATTTGCAGCCAGAAACTATGAAGGAGATTAGCATCTGCACCGTTTTTCTTGTCCTCTTTGTCTGCGTTGATGTAAGTACGATTTATTTTAAAAACAGAATCTTTATATTATAGTTTGTACTTCACCTTGGCCGTCATATTTTTTTATGTGGTCCTTTAATGTGAATTTATATCACAAATTATGGATTACCGCGTCCGATTTTGGATTTTCCGTGGAGTTCGATGTTGTTACAAATAGGCGGTCCTAAACTGAATTCTAAATTTTGCTTTTCTTTTATGTTTTTTGATATACTCTTTGAGATTTCACCCGTCTTAAATTTTAAATCTAAAACATTAAAGAAAATTAATGCTTCGTATGTTGTCTTTGTTTTAGAATTCTTTTATAAAATTACTCTGTGGCTTGAAGCTTTAAGTTGAATTGCAGCTAGAAAATAACGTTAAGGCACTTACAACTGAATTTAGTATAAAGATATCTCACAGTTTAAGCCATGTTTAACACCTACTTTTTTTAATGAATGAGTCCATCAAGTGGCTCCTTCATGGTTCCACGTTAGGTGAGGACCGTTACCTGAGCCCTCAGTTCGTTTTCGTAAAACTTGTCCTTAACTGATCATATTTAAATACCTATCCTTTATAATTACGTCCATTTCTCCGAAATCGCCAGCAGGATAAAAACCAAGCGAGTTTTAGATAAATACTGAGCCCTATTATAAAAGAATAGTAATATACTTCTGTTTATCTTGAGAATTTCATCCTCTAACAAAGAAAACTAAAGGTAAAATCTGACACGGAATAAGCTTGTCAAGTTCCTATTCACATTGCCAAGGAAGTCATTAACATTGACAATGAGCGCTTCGTGGGGGAGGGGGAGGGGGGGGGCTGGGGGGACTTTGGTTGAGTGACTCCTGAGTTGGGGGGACTTTGGTTAATTGACTCCTGATCTTCCTACAATGGACTCATAAGATCAGCAGATGATAATAAAATAATAATAAATCCGCCGAAGGATAACGTGTTAGGGTCTGGGTGGTTAAGTTTACTAAACAATAACGGGGCAGCAGCTAAGAAGGCTGAAAATGATATTGGCTTTAAGACGGCTTGGACAGTAAGCAAGACTGGACGCGCCCTTGATTTTTAATCAAGTGCACTTCCCCTATTATTTTCCGCTCCGCTAGAATAATGCGTTGCAATATCGACGAAAACGCGGAATTGGATTTTCAAAGTGTTACGAAACTAAATGTAACTGTACGTACCGGTATGTATGAAACGTAAAGAATTCGCTTCAAGCCACCAGTATTAAATGCGAATATCGTTTCGGTCCGTTTTACAGTGATCTCTAACCATAGATTCCTCCACTCTCTTTTGACTACCGAGCGAAACAGAGTATACTGAGAACGTGGCTCCGTATTTTAACATCACTGATTCATTTGAGTGAAAGTGATCCCCGCCATAGTGACGCCCACGCGCGGTAAAGGTCTCGACACCCGCAGTGTATTACCTGGTCTCTTCTTTTGTAGGCACAGCATCATGACTGTAACTATGACGAGTTTTATAACAGCACAATAGAGAGATGCGTTAAATGCCCAGCTTGTCCAGCTGGAAAAGGAATTGCCAAAAACTGTAGGTGTGAGTCCTGTATAAGTGGCCTTACTTACAACGACGGCAAGGAAGGTCGTGGTAATTGTGAAACTTGTCAGTCGTGTGAAGCCAAAAACAAGATTGAAGACAAGCCCTGTACTGTGAAAAGCAACGCTGTCTGCAAATGTCCCAAAGGGTAAGAACTTTTACATAGTTCATTGATTCAGTCAACGGCTGCTATAAAGATTGAGCGTGTTGGAGGAGTGGTTAGGGAGGAACAGAGGATCCAAACCTCTCGCCCCCCTTAACTTGCATTCCCGGCTCCCACCCCTTTTTGCTAGCTTTCCTCCCTTTAGCCCTTTTTCGGTTGCGAAATATTTTAAAAGCAATTAGTTGTTGCGTATTTTCCCCCTATTCCTCCAACTTCCCACTCTTTTAGAATTTCCTCCTCCCTCCCTTTGCTCTCCCTCCTGCCGTAACCCTTCCGCCACCTAATCTCCTTGGCTACGACTCCCTGTCCTCCCAGGCTATAAAGGTGCGCGCAGTTGGCATCGGCTAAAGAAACCGGTCGTTATGGCAACTGAAAAACAGAACGACCAACTACATGTATAAGAGGCTGTTTTATGTACGTGTCTCTCTCATATAAGTTTACGTTTAAAACGCGTTTGCTGTATAACTGTCTTCTGATCTTTTGCACTGTGAGAAAATTAAACTATAATTTTACTTGTGATCAAGCCAACGTTTTAAAACATAAGTCAATGTTTTACAGTTAATTTATGTCAGTGGGGAAACGACAAAGATGTGGTGACGTGCGCTGCAATAGCCGTCGTTTCGCGTCTCACTGAACTGAAGAAGCTATCGCCTTGAGCGACATTGACCGTTGTTTCGACTTGTATTTAATATATAAAAAAACAATTCTCTGTCACGAGCGCATTTATTTTATAGGAAATACGAGACAAGCGATGGAGATTGCGAGGAATGTTCTTATTGCTGTGAAGAGAATTGGGAACAAAGCTCCAAGGTCGAGTCTGCCTGCAAAGAACAGGGGCTCGGTCGATGTATCTGCAAGCCATTTTTTTACTGTCCTAAGAAGAAGTGTCCTAACCCAACAAGGCCCATTGTGACCACAGGGATACCAATAACGCCGACAAAGAAGAAGTTAATGACCAGTCCACAAAACGAGCAGAAGACCCGAACAAACAGTACCTCAACCGTAAGAAATTCCTCCAAAACACCTGAATCTCATAACAGTAATGCTTATGATTCTAAAGCAGAACATTCACAAAAAGGTGAGATAAATATAACGTTAATTAGCGCTGTCATTAATGAAATTAACTCTCGGACGTACACACAAAGTCATATTCTCCCCGTGGACAAGTGGGGAGGGGGGGAGGGGGTGGTGATGGAACCTCCCCCTAGGGTTTTTCATATGTTGCAGTATTTCGAAAATATTTCACCGTCAGTGTAATTCTTTTATATTCTCTACAAGATGAGGTATATTTTACGGGTGGTGGCTTTGCGGGAGGCCTGTGACGTCGCGAAAGATGGTCGCCATCTTGGCCGCCATTGATTTTGCAAGAATTAGAAAAGAGGTAAAAACGGCGAGAATTGGTAATTTTTGGGCCTGACATGTAAAATAACACATAAATAAGTACTTCGCTTTACTTTATTCACAAGATTTACTTTTATTGTTGAAAGAAGTTGAAAAAAGATGCATTTTCTTTCAAAATGGGCTTGACCACCTGCTACTTATGATATCATATCTCGTAACCATAGTATCTAATCATCTTTAAGCTTGTCCGAAAATGCGCGTGAGGGATAAACAACGGCCACTGAAAACTTCAGGTGCTGATGTTTGATCGTCTGGGAAAAACCTCACAAAAGCCTGAGAGGGGAGTGGCATCCACCCCCACTTTTACATCCCAGGGTTAAGGGTTAAGAAGCTTCTTCTTTCAAATATAGAGCTAGACATGAAACGCGTTGCTCAACCTGCCTAAGAGGACTGGCAGTCCCTTAGATAATGTGTGTTTTAGCCTACGTACTGATCCATGAACCAAGAAATGTTCTGTTTATGACTGCTTGACTTACCATTTGTGGTCTTTCTTTTTCTCTTTTATAGAAAAAATCGTTTATCGCTACCTCAAACCAGGCTGGATTGTTTTAATCTGTCTAGGATCAGTTGTGGTCCTAGGAGCAGCAGCGTTCTTGTCGTGTCGTAAGCAAACCCGGAAAAGGATTCATCGTTTTTGCTGCCCGAATTATGCAGTGTTAAGTCCCGATTTTGAAACCACTTCTGCACTGGTGGTGGAAAGTCACTACGCAGAATCAGCACCAAATGACCCAGAAGGTTAGTAAATATCCCCTTAGAGGATGGTGAATAGGGTTGTAAATCTCAGCAGGATTGGAGGGGGGGGATCAAAAGAAAGCAAAATGACAAGAAGAAAATGTGACTCTACGACTATTTTTTATTTTACTTGTCAAATGTAAGTATTAGATTATACAGCAATTACGTCAAATGCAAACATGTTCAACCTAAAATTAAAAGCAATCAATGCAGGGCTAGCGGGTCTAAAACAAATTACTTCTTACTGGAAATAAATGTTCCAAATTGAAAAGAAGACAAAGTCGCTGTCCAAGCTGAGGACGACGAGCCCCAAAACGTCTTAAGCCACTTAGTACGCCTCTTTCAAATCGAAAAACGTGCATGCCCACACGATAGTGATACAGTCTAACTTTTGCCTTCAGATGGTGCCACACCCATTCCCCCTGGGGAAGAACCTGTTCCACGTTGGTATCCTTCTCCGACTGCAGGTAAGTTAATAAGGAGCCCGAAGCGTACAAATGAAAGTGATCAAATTTACCCTAAGTTGTTAAAATGGTAAATTAGGCTAGTTTTAAGCACCCGCCTAATATAAACAGCCTCTGTTATTCAGTGGATTTCAATATACTTTCACGCACTGAAAAATGGATTTTCTGGTCGAGGGGAAGCCATTATTTTTCTCATTCCAGTTTTGAGTATCTTGTTTCAAATATTTGCCAGGAAACAGTAGCAAAATAGACAGCCCTAGTTTACATTTTTTGACCACGACAAACATTGCCCGAGTCCTTTAGTTAAATAGTTATAAATAAACCGACAACAGAAATGATAATAACAAAATACAAAATACATGATAAAGATAATAAATAACGAATACATAAACTTGAAACTTAAAGCGTAAAGGTGCGTAAACGTTAGGTGAGGTCAAGCAACGACATTTTTGAGCAATGCACGTCAACCGGAAGTAAGTCCTTGGCCCTCGATACCCCTTGATGCTACCAAATTTGTATTGCTAAGTGTCTTTGCTCTGATAGATGCAATCTGTTAGAAATCTTTTTTTTTTTCAAAATCACTGCCCAGGATTGTAAAAAGGTCACTTCCGGTTGACGCCCGTCGCTCAAAGACTTCGTTGTTTAAACTCCCCAATGACAATTGGTATTTTAACTTGGCACTCTCGTAACTGGTGACGATTACTGCTGTATAGATTTTTAAGGCTCATTCTGGTGTTTCTTTTTTTCCCCAACCCTTAGAATACGTATACCGTAACTGTGGGACCAGGGAGAAAGAAGACTTGCAGATAGAGTGCGAATGCACCATGGACAAGTCAGGTAAAACTCGAATTCCCTCCGCCATATGCCATACCAAATGTCGGTAGAGACTATGTGCTGGCTTCAAGTTAAGATTTTCTAAGATTGTTAATGGTCGTTCATCATTAAAGGTTAAATCAGTCAGTTTTAGTTGACAAATTGGTTACCACTGATCTGATTACTGATCAGGGCCGGGTTTTTCTACTATTTTGTGACCATTCCTAAGTTTGTTCTGCCGTATGTTTCTCTCTCCTGGTTGTCACAGATTACTTGACCGAAGGCATATTAACCGGTTTAGATAGCACAAAGAGGAGAATATAAATTTTATTAGAAAGCATAGAATTAAAACCGGTTTGGGAAATTAACTTCTCACTTGATCGTATGTTACCTTACGTAACCTGACCCTGATTCTCTTTATAGTTTCCCTGAATGATGAGTCTGAGGAAACCTTCGAAGAATTAGATCCGTACCGTTCAACAAAATATGGAAACTGCTCACTACATAGGCTGAGAAAACAGCCAACATTTGGCGCCGCTACCACTGGTTTCCCAGAAAAATGACGTCTGAGAAACGAGCGCAGAAATTCCATACAGATGACGCGTCACTACCCAGATCTGGGTAGTGACGCGTCATCAGTATGAAATTTCGGCCCTCGTTTCTCAGACGTCATTTGGCGGGGAAACCAGTGGTAGCGTCACCAAATGTCTGCTGTTTTCTCAGGCTACTCATTACACGGTTCTAATTTCATATATTTCCCATTTGGATTAGGTAGTAAACGACTTGAAAGTGAATGAACTTAACTCATGTATGGTTTCTATCTTTTAGAGACGTCCAGCGAAAAACTGGTGCCGATCTCATCTTCTACAGAAACAATCTCAGATGAACCGTTCCATTACTCTAAGGAACCAGATCAAGAAAGGCAGATTTCAGCTGGCAGAATTTCTCCAAGTTCTTCCACGTCGTCTCGTTCTTCTTGTCCTCAATCATCTCATTTTTATTGCGGCACATGCTCTTCGTCTTCAAACTGTGTTACTCCCTCGCAACTTTCTGGAAGTTCAACTGATCGCATGTCGTCTTTTTCAAACAGCGCGACCTTACCTCCAAGTCGTGAACGGTCGCCTGATCCCGGCTTATCCTGCATGAGTGCAACATCCCTCCAGGGGCGATCACCAACACATCGCTGCGTAGCGCCTTCGACCTGTTTGTCCCCAGCTTCCTTCCGCGAACGGACGCCCACTCCACCATCCCTTCCAACCCTTTTAAGCCATTCTAGTTTTCCGGAGGAACAAGAAATATGTAATCAGAGTAGTGAATATGCGCAGAGCCAGGAGCCGCTGACACCAGTCAGCGTAGAAGTATACGACAAAGAGGTCAATGGAAACTCCAATAAGGCGGAAAGGGAGAATGTATTGCCAACAGCGGGAAAAGGGAAGGAGGGACGGCCTGTGGTGACAAAAAACAGTTCTAGTCCAAAGAAGGGCCTGGCTTGTGCTCGTAATCGAGAATATAGGTCTACAAAACACAGTGGCTGCGCGGAGGAAGACGTAACCCTGATCCACGCTAGGGATGGAGGTCTAGGATATTATACAACAGCAACCGATGTCAACGATAAAGAAAAAAGGACCTTCAAGGAGGAGGAAAACGACTGTATATATCGCCCCATTCAACGAGGCAGCGAGGACGCCCAACACCGCTGCTCAGGTGATTTTATCCCGACTTATCTTGAACTAAAAATGACTTAAGTAAACTAAATGTTATTTAGAGAGTTTGACACTTGGCTGTTTTAATGACCGATAAGTGTTTCTATTTCAGTAACTGCAGAAGCAAACTACGATAGAAAACTTACTAAAAAGCATACATTGTTATATATTGACCGTATTTTTTGGGGGTAAAAAATTATTTGAAGACCTTTCTAAATGACTGATTAGTTTGACAAGTTTTACTATGTCGCGCGTTCATAACGACCCCTGCTTCGAACCGAGAAATATTGGGGAACTAACTCTCAGATGATCTGATTGCTTTCCGAGTAATGATATAAGCGGATCGGAAGATTTCCCGGACCCCAGCAACCTGGAGATTAGGATTGCGCACTCCTTTTGCGCCCCCCCCCCCTTCCTGCCCCCCACCTCGATAATTTCAACGGATGCGAGAGCCCTTTTAGTTTTGAGATATTTCTTATTTGTGCACTGATTTGATTTTAATTACTTGTTTTTGTCCTTTTTTGTCACAGAGTGTTGCCCTCAGCCGGATTATTCATTCTTCAAGCTGATAGAAAGAGAGCGAACGTGCCTAAAGGATTACATTTGTAAAGAGCTGAACAAAGGTTCTGACTATAAAGAGGCAGCCAGATATTTTCGTGTAGATCATAAAATGAAGGATTACGACGCCAGTTCAAATCCCTCTGAACGAGTTTTAGATAACATTAAAGCTTCGCATCCTGATCTTGAGTTGAAGGAATTTGAGAAGATGCTTCGCGAGAAGCCTAATAAGCGATTGGACATAATTGACATTATTCAAAATCATCACATCTCCTGCACACTTTGTCAACGCAACAGATTTGACGCAAAGGCTTAGGTCTCTTTAAATTTTATGTGGTGTGTACTGTGGATGTTAGCAGATAAACAACGGGGGAAAGACGGAAGAGAAGTGGCAAAAATGAGAAAGAGAGTAGGCGTGCCTCGTACCAGGTCGTTGTTTTGACTACGCCTCATGGGATCAGTTCAGGACGTTCGTCCCCGAGGAGGCTATTATGTCCTAGTTCAGGCATTCAGGCAGTGCGGATGCTTTAGTTTATCTCTCCGCCACCCGCCACTCTACGCAATATGAAGGCCCGGGACAGGCTAGTGCCACAGCATCGGCTCATGTGCTGTGTCAGAATTGCGATTTTTTGATGTTATAAAGGATGGGACTCAAAGCGCCAACTTTGTGTAGAGAAAGAGTAAAGCAATTGTCTTAAAGATGTGTTAACCTTAGAGACATAAAAATGCTTCATGTAGCGAAAGCTTCATGTTCAACAAATGCAAGGCTATTAGTAAATTAACTGTAAAACTTATATTTATGGTCACTGTAAAAGGTATAAGAGTAAAACTAGTGAACTGCGAATCATGTTCAGACATGCAATTTCGCTTCAATTCTTGTCTGTTTTAATTTTCGAGGTAGTTCTAGTTTTCTTAGAGGACCAAGAGCGCTCCTCGCATTATTTACCAGCTCCATATCTTATTTAACGTGCTTGGTTTAATTTTTTCAGCCCGTCTGGAATAGCCGTTCTCCACTACGCAATGGAGGAATGAACTTGCAAGATAGCCTTTTTATTTTAGGCACTGGGTTGCAAATTGATAACTGACAACTGAACGCGAAATATTGTGGTGTAACTGGTATATCCTTATAAAATATGTTCTCATTGCAGAGCTTTATTGAAATTGACGACGAGAATAAGTACGAGATCTACTCACTTTAGATAGTAGTTTGAAATAGTCGATTTAGCAAAGAGGTGCATTGAGAGCGAGCACGCGAAAAACCTATTGCAGGAAGCTGTAACTTTTACCATAAATAAATATTTAAATTGAATTGACGAATTTCTCTTTTTTTTCAAAGCATTTGCTACAATACGCAAGCTTATTGGCACACGTTTTCCCCGATCCGTGATCGCACTCGATTCTGCACATTGTCCTTGCCAAAGCTCTCTGTTACTGTGCTTGCTTTTAGCCTGCGAACAATCTCTCAATTTAAGAATCGCGAAAGGAGAAGGTTCAGTCACGTGAGCAGTCTTGCGCGTAACCTCACCCTGCGCGTAATAAAAACTCTCGCGATTTCCAAACGAATACGGAAGTAGTTTACGGCAGGAAATATTTTGTTTAATATCATTTGTTTCGTTTTTTTCTTGTTTAAATCTCGGACAATATCGAGTGTTAATTTAAAAGTGCTGCTATCCAAGGGTTGTAAGGATTTGACTAAAGGGCTCCTAGCAGTTCTAGAGAGTGCTAAACAATAGTAGTTTCGATAAATGACTTTAGGATTGAAAGTGAAAGAGTCGTAGAGTAACTTAGCCTCATCTTGTGTAAATCTTATTCCGTTTCTCTAAATCTGTGAGACTCAGTTTAATTATATGTATGATATAAACAAGTGTGACTGTCTATGCTGATCTTAACAAACCCTCGATTGTGTTCTGATCTGGGAAGTATCGCGTTACAAATACTGTTCATAAAGACATGATAATTGTAGTGGCCCGTAAGTGACATTCTAAGCAAAGTAAAAAAAATTGCATTAAAATGAAGATTTTGTTTTGGATCCAAACTTTTTATCCAGCCAACATAGATTTCACTATTCGGCAACGATGTTTTATTACTCTGGATCCAGAGTTTTTACTCTGGATCAAAGTTTTTACTCTGGATCCACAGTTAAGTTATTACTCCCGATCCAAAGTTTTTACTCCGGATCCGAAGTTATTACTCTGGATCCAAAGTTATTACTCTGGATCCAAAGTTATTACTCCGGATCCAAAGTTTCAGCGGATCTTATATAAGTTATTACATCGTATCCAAAGTTTTTACTCTGGATCCAAAGTTATTATTCCGGATCCAATGTTCTTACTCTAGATCCAAGGTTTTTACTTCAGATCCAAAGATCCTCTCCACTTTAATATTCCGAAACTGGAGTTTGAACACGTGACATCCAGTTCACCACTCAACATGCCGGCGGCTCAAAGCAGGGCGGATAAAGGTTGGGCGGTGAAACGAGCGTGTCCGAGGCAAAAGGTGTGATGCAGTGGACTGGGACTCTGCTTAGAAATGTTGCTTGTTGCTTGTTTACGACTTCGGTCAGGGCTTGCGATGTGGTTTGTCGGTTTGTTCATTAGACACTGCCGCTGTCACTGAATTATGGCGGCTTGATTTGTTTTCTTGCACTTCTTCCTCGTTCCTTTGTGATGGTACGCTGTCTCCGAGAGGCAAATGTTGCTATTTTTTGCAGAAGGTTTGGTTGGAGTAGACAATCATCTCTTTCAAAGGGTTTCTCTTATTACTTACATGACTCAACCACTGAATTATATTTTCGTTCTACTACTCGCCAATGTCGATGTTATTCCAAAACAAAAACAACTACGTACTGTCTAAAACACGAAGGAAAATCTCATCCATGTCATCTATGGCAAAACTAAAAGACAGCAGATCGTGTTTTAACTAGATGACGTGTATTTTACAAATGCGTGTAGCTCGTGCAAGTTGAAATTATGCTAATTTCAATCACCACAATCCTTCTTTTTAATTTTGAAAAAAACGTCTCATACGTCTTTCTGTTCCTTCGAAACTTCAAAATTAGTTTCCCCTCAGTTTTTACTGTTTACCTTGTTTTGTTTTAGAGAGAAAAACAGAGAAAAAACCCTGCAACTAACCTCAATAAATTTTGTTTACATGCGATTGCCGGATTTGGGACGCATTGCGCGAATCGCCATGGCGCGTTGCACCCGAGAAGCAAAGTTTGAAGCAGTACAACGCCACTATATCAAAATATATCAATCTAATTTTTTGTAATGTTATATAAAATTTACCCCCCTTTAACATATGTAAAAATTGAGGTTAAGAAGTGTTAAGCTTTTGCAAACGAAACGGCGAAAGACGATTAGGTGATATTTAGTGGAAGGAGGAGGTATTCGACACTTTTAAATTAAACTCAAATTTTGGCATTATAGGACCAACAAGTTTGACTTATAGGCATACAGACACAAACATATGAAACTGTTTATTGATATTGCTATGAAACGAATTTATCTATTTAACATTGTAGCCTGAAATTACAGAAAGAAAATAGGATTTCCGGTTTGCAAAAAGGAAAATTTTGCCGGCCTTCAAGCGCACCGGAAGCGCGGAAAGAGCGCTCGTGCCAGTCCTGCTCCGCATCACACATTAAATGAAGAGCGGAGCGCTCGTTTCACCGCCCAACATTTATCCGCCCTGGCTCAAAGTGAAGAAGACAGTGGCCCGTAAGCGTACTTACACCTTAGTTGCGATTATAATTGCCTTTCTAAAGATCCTATAACACTAGTTTCTGACACAGTAATATCAATCATATCACTGTCATTGTCAGTAACCAAACTTTCTGCCAATTCTTCAAGTGAAGCTTTTTCTTCGTCACTGTGGAAACAAAGTTTCTTGCTAGGCTCGGGTAAAATGCGAAAAGTTCCCTGTAGAACTGGCCAACATTTATTGCTTTTCTCGTGGGTCTCAAATAAGAAAGTGTTTATAACAAAGGAGGAACTATCGTCGTGTTCCTTCCGTTTGCCTACACTGCTAGCAATGAAGAGGGCAATTCGGTTGATCGCAAGAGAACGCATCGTGTTCCAGATCGCCTCTTCATCCGGAGCGCTTGGTCGATCCAAAGCCGACTGATGAGAATGCCAAACGGCCACATGGTCCAAACCGTGTTGTTGACTTAGATATGTTGCGATTTTGTTCGAATATCGAACATCCTGATCAAATGAAAATGGCGTTCGTCGACACAATTTCCCTGGTCCGGAAACATAGTATATACACAGCTTGTTTTTTAAGTCATCCCGTCCTTCAGTCCATGATCCAAATAAATCTCCCCCGGTTTCCTCGGATGGGCTCTTGAGTACCCAACTGAAAATCTTTTTTAACTCGCTTGCCGGAATTTCGACAGTAAAACGCCTCTCGCGTGAGCACATAACACACTTCCATTCATTCTGTTGTTTGAATGTCACGCGATGTAACATGTAGCGTCACTCTAAAATACATAGGCGGAAAACACAAAACAAAGTTTACGTTTACAAGAATTTGTAAAGAATTTTTTTTCCCTTGATAATACTCACCCTTTTCGGGCACTTAGGTTTTTCCATTCATTGCTTAACACTCCAGCGCTAATGAGGTACTTTCGAATTTTGATAGAGATTTTTTTGCAATGGTTCACCAAACAAATAATTCATAAATGAAATAAATGCAATCAAACCCATCGTCGTTGAAGTCTGAACCCTTTGATTTTTTCCCCTTCAGTGTCCACTCTTAAATTATCCTCAAGGTGTCCTTTTATGTTTGTACCTTTTTATAACAAAGACAGCTAGAGAATGACATTCGCATTTCATTTTCATTCATGGATATTGCAATGTAAATAGTGTCACGCACGGCAATGAATGATTAATTTAATAGCAGCAGCTAGACTACTTCATTGTATTGCGCTCCAATTTCATTGCTTTCTCATTTGTACTGGTACTTCTTGTCTTTTTTGGCTAGATACTGTTTCACGAATTGGTAAAACTGATCAATCCAAATTTGACTTAAAAAAATCGGTCTCCCATGTGCTAAACTCGCAGCCTATGCGGTCTATTCAAATCAAAAATCAACATTTAAGTTGAAACAGTTAAAAAAAAAAAAAGAAAAAAAGAAAAAAACAGGAGTAGAACTCCGATCCTTACAACGATTTGCTATATACAAGCGTGACAACTGTGCGTTTTTGTAAAATATAGATTAAACCATTGTTATTATTCGGGGAAATTCCCGGAAATGTTTTTCAGTCATGAGTGATTTGCATATGATTATCAATAGTAATTTATGGACAGCTGTTGTCACGTTATTTCCACGAAAATGCGGAACATACTGTCAAGTTGGAACGCCTCCTATTGATTAACAAAAACAATTGTTCACAATTCTTGGAAACGGGGTTTTCTTTTCTTTTCTTAAATTTTCCTCGACAAGTATTGTTTTTCAACGAAGACGTTATTTAGCTGCAACTGAATAGAAGACATCAGCTCGGAAACCCAGCTCGGCAGAGACGAAACAGTAGTCCTCCCTTTCGTACAGAGAAAGTTATAGAAGATGGTCTTTACAACTTATATTTTCAGAGAAGACCTTGAGAGGCTCAAAAACGACGCCGCTAATGGATCAAACGGAGGAAGTTTGTATGGTCAGTTGACGAGCACTGGAAACCCGGTTGTTCATGTTGCCTTTAGCGAGACTGGCCCTCTAAAGCCCGGTAGTGAAACAAAGTTGTACGAATCTTATAGGCTGTGCCACATCGGGGAATGGATTGCAGGAAAATTGGATTTTCGCACTAGACAGAATCTCCTAAGAAAATGCAAAGGATATGGAAGTCCATCAAGATTCGTGGTTCTTGAAGTAGCCAGTCGGGTCTTAGTCACTCCTTACCTTTTGGGCGAATATACACAGGAAAAGGAAGGAAAACTTGAAGAATTGAAGGGAGAAAACCCATTCAATCGTCGAGATGTGCTTACAAACGCGGTAGTTGGTCAAAAGCAGCGTACCTCGGCGGAACGTCATCATGCTACCGCTGGGGCGGTTGCGATTCGAGCACACCAGTCACCGGGAGAGTGGCAGCGGTCTCCAGCACCCCGAGGTCAGGTAGCTCTTACGTCTCCGGATCAGTGGTACGCTAATCAAGAAGGACAGACTGCGCTCAAATTTGTACTCGAGAGTGTGAGAGCAATGGCTCAGTATGGCCAGGTAGACATGACAAGAGATACCGAAACCCATGACATGTGCATGTCGTTTACTGACTTGTTCAATAAGAAGTGGGAAGTGAAGTTTTCTTTTAGTTTTCCCAGAGGTGGAGTATTGGTAACTAACAAGAGCCAAAGTAGAACCGCCCAAGCGCACTCGTATCAGACAAGTTCCTCAAGTTATGGAAACTTTGGGCTAGAACCTTACAAAATGTCTGGCTGTGAAAGAGTAGACGATATGGTGGAAAAAATTAAAACTTACATCCGACTAAAGTAAACGAAAAGCGAAAAGGATAAAGGATCTCTTAAAACACTTCAACCCTGATTTTATGCAAGTGACTTATACTATAGAGAACGTTTGAGATATTATCATTAACTATTCTGGTGGTCAGTGTTAAAATATCTTAGCTACATATATTTCACCCCCAAACTCACTTCATCACCACAATTCAAAGCATGTTTCACAGATGTAGGAGGAAGCTGATGAAACTTTGCCTTCGTAAGTAGTGGCTTGTCCGCTGAAGTAGCAAGTGATAAAATTTGTGACTACAAACTTGACAAAGACAAGTAGTTAAACATGCCCTGGTTAAATCCGATGAATTTTAACTAAAAATTAATTGATACCATAGTACAATTAGTGAGATCGGCCATACAGTGTAAAAAGTAAAGGCCAGCAGGTTTTCTCATGATTTTTATAGCGTTGAACTCATTATTATACGGTGATTACTGGCGTTGCTAAACCTAGATGTGTTAATTGACTTCAAATGTCAATCTTTTGATAGCCATATGTTAATAAAATAATTTAAGGTCTCAGAACAATGACACTTCCAATGACTTCATGGTGTTATCGAATCTTCTTTGTCTTCGTGACTTTTTGAAAGAGTTTTATAATTATTTAGGGTTTAATTCTTTTTTCCGTGAGGGAAACTTCCCGATAGCCTCTACGTAGAGGCTCCCCGCGGAAGGGGTATACCTTTCCAAGAGAGGATTTATCCTCTCTTGACCTTTCTCATGCTTAAGGCTGGTGTAAATACTAAAAGTTATAAAATGGATTTCACTTGTTGAAGGTAGTCAGAAATCTCAGACATTTTAGCCTGTAAAAGGACCTACAAGGGCTTATTGACGCGTTATATTTAAGTGAAGAAAACGTTAAAAAAATTTTTGGTTAGGGATTCATCCATATTTTAAAAAAATTACATTCACAGTAGGTAATTAAAAGGGATGAAGCGTTCCAAACAAGATATGTGAAAGGAGTGGTATAGAAAGGGGTAATGTTCCCTTAAAAACTATAAAACTGTAAAGGTTGGACCTAGGGGACGGAGCCACCCTTCTAAAACTTGGTGAGTACAGGCCGGTTTCCCTCCCCGCGACTGAGGGGAACCATAAGATTATTCCCCTACAGCTATGTAGCACAATTCTTCCCTTGCATATGTCAGTGTTGGTAGTTGTCGTCGGTGTGTTTGTCTAGGGAACCGTTTCTCGATCGAATCGAACAAAGTCCCTGGGGTCACTTTTTTGGAATTCCCGACAATTTTTGAATAGTAGCTGACTATTTCTACCTCACAAGTCGGTCGATTTTGCTTTGTCAACTGTCAGTTTCATTTATCATTTTCAAAGTTTTTCAAACTTTGATCTTGAATGCAAACCCGACAAACATAATACAGCTTTCCGAGTCCGAAAGTTACCAGGACTCTCGAGAAACAGGCCCCAGGACCGAAACCAAACTTTCCAAATCTAAAGAATCAGTTATCAGCTGAGTTATACAGCGGGTCCTTGACACAATGCCATTTTGATTTGTTAGCTTATTTTCGGTTTTTGCAGCAGCTGATTTTTTGTAGCCGTTTTGACGATCAAGAAATTGTTATAGAGAAAAATTTTGACTGCAAAAGTATTCTACAGAACACTTTGAAGCAATTTGGAGCACTAGCTTCAAAATAACAGCGCCGGGAAATCGAGATAAAAGAACTTTTGTCAATGCATCTCACCTCACAGACGAGTTTTATTGATCAAGCGAAATGTTTGTCAAAAGAACGTTTCAGTTTGGCTTTTACCTTCAAAACCTTCATTTCCCCCATGAAATCCAATTCGGAATTCATTTTACACCGACGAAATCCAGATTTAGCTTTTCACTTTCCCTGAACGGATCAAAGATTCAGCTCCGTACTAGTCAGTGCTCTTTTGCCCCAAGAAGAAATTGCACACGAACTGCCGTGTTTGTATTTTAATCCGCCGGCAGAAACAATGTTAAATATGCATGTTTTTTAAGAAGAAGAAAAAGAAGAAGAAGATGATGATGATGATGATGATGATGATGATGAAGGAGTTGACATGTCAGGCTTGCAATATATCGATAACATTGGTAAGCGTCAGTGAGAAAAGCAGTAATTGCTTGAAAAATGGTTTCTGTATATTTTCGCCCTTCCCTCCCCCTTCGGTTTCTCTCTACCACTCAGTGTCTCTTTTCCTCCGTCCTAACCTTACTGGGCGCAGAGTGGAGCTGCGAATTGGGAAAAACGTCCGTCACTGGAACTCTAGATAATCGTAATTTAATTCAGTCTCTCTTAGATTATTTCCAGAAACAACCTTACATGAAACATCTAGAAATTAGGGGTAACAGGACAATTCCTGAGTCAACAGTTTAATATGATACTATACTCATTGACCAAGTCTAATTTAAGTAGTTGGAGTTAAAATTTAGTTCGGTCGCCTGCGATGCAGTCATAAACAGTCTTCACCAATGTTATTCCACTGTGGACGTAAGGTTAGAGGATACCGAGCTAACCACAATTCCAAAATTCGTAAAGAATCCACCAGCTACTGGGTCGTTCATCTTCACTGCAACAACTTTGTCGGGGTCGGCGGAAACTGTCGGTTTAGAAGTGTGTAGTTTTCCCGTGCTAGGGTCGAAGAACATCACCTCTTTGTTTCCCATGTACTCCATCTGTAGCTTGTTATGATGCAATGATCTAATCAATGATTATAACAAGAACGTCGAAAAACTCTTTCTCCTTAACTTGTTAGTTTCTGATGGGTCTATTGGCTATATGGCAGCGCTCATCTCAAGTTGGATTGTTCAAATGGAAGCAGCTAGTAAGCTGAGCAAAACCACCTGGACCAGTGCTGCAGGAGCAAAATCATTAGCTATTATGAATACATCGAATTCAGGGGGCGAAATAATAGCCATTTGTTAACTTAGTTTCTTGGAAAGGTTTATACCCCATTGAAAACTTTAATTTCGGTGTTTTGACCTTGAAGTTCCAAGAAGAAAGGGAACAAACTGTCAACTACACTTGCTCCGCCCATGAACAAGAATGTAAGAGTGACCTACTCAAACGTTTAAGTTCGTCACTCACTATTTGAAGATTGATCACATCGGTTTGATCGATTTGAAGTTTGCAGATCTAAAAAAATTTTAAACACACTCTCAAGTTATTTAATTTGCGCGTGCAATTTTTAGTTAATGAGAGACAGAACATGTCAATATACGCACCTTCTCTATCGTTTTGTTCTGGTCGCATTCCCAGCACACAGAATGAAATTAGCATTTAAATGACCACTCTTTGTTTGAGAAAATATATTTATGTTCAATCCTTTTTGTCACTTGTTAATTTCCTGATACCGACTGTGGCCAAATTTGTGACGTGTGGCCTACTAATCATTATTTCACATACATAAATAAGGAACTCGCCTGAGGGCAGCCACACCACCCCTAACGGGACCGAATGGGGATCCCAAAATTCTTGGAAAAGCAAATTGTTATTATTATGGATATCTTCGAGCAGTTTTAATTCTGCATGCAACAGAAAGGTTGGCAGGATTCTGGAATAGTCCATTATACCATTATGTAACGTGGTCTCCCCAAGAGTTTGTCAGTAACATACGGTCTCGAGAAGTAAAGTCGGAAGGTGAGATATCTTCAAAGGATCTGAAACAAACGCGAAGCTTGTGTATAGTGGGTCGAGGCTTAACGATAAAATGCACATAAATACAACAAAAAGCCTAGTAATCTGTTTTTGTGTATAAGCGGTCAAGAATTCTGAAGCCATTGACAGCAACTCTCGGACTCAACTAGTTAAAGAACAACATGCTTCAGGATTTCTTTATTTGGTAAATAAAATGTTCTGGGGATTCGACGAAACGAAAGTGAAGATACTTCCGGGCTTATTTGGCAGAATTGAAATAGTGCTGAATTAACTTAAATGCGATTTAGAAATGTATTTTAATGACGTTTTTGCTGAGAATTCACCGAGTTTTTGTTACTTAATGTGAAAATAAGCAAACTGGGGGTGACCAGTGGTCAAAACTGAGCCTAAGATTTTGTGAAAAGGACATGACTGATCGGACGATCATTGTGGCGTTGACATTATCGTTGGTAAACGAAAAACTATTAAGAGGCCATTTCGTTTGATTGATCTTACACATTGAAATCGAAGACACAATGTATTCTTCATTCTTTCCGGTCCGTTAGATCGAAGATATCACAATTCTTTATTATTATTGTTATCATTATTAAATCATCGTTCTTTCATATTGTATGTCGCTTGGACATAAGGTTATACCTTCATCAATCACGGTTATTTTCGATGCAGATTGGAGAGTGAAACCCTTTGCTCTCTCGATAGTTTAGTGGGATTTTCTTGTGTGAGATCTACTTTATTTTTTTATTTTTTTTATTTTTTATTTTATTTGCCACACTAATTACAAAAAATATAGGAAAAGAAGAAAAAAAAAAAAAAAAAAGAAGTGGCGAGGAGACCTAACAGAAACTATAGGAGCTTATGAGAGGTTAGGCCTCCTCGAACTATGAGCTAGAGCTGTTTCACATCAATTGAAGAGAAGAAAGCGAAAAGTCGAAGATGGAAAGATTTATAAACTGTTTTCATACTTACTCAATAATTTAATCTTCAGTTTTTTCTTAAAAGAGGAGAGGGATTGAGAGTTGATGATCTTGTTGTCAAGTGAATTAAAAACTTAGGCCCTTGAAAAAAAGGGCGAGAACTTCTTCGTGTTTGTACGACAATACGGTAGACGGTAGGCCTGGGAATTTCTTGTATTGTAAGAGTGGAATTGATTGCTTTGAGAGAAATTGTTATTAAACTTTGGAGGTAAGAATGAATTTTTGCAAGAATACATAAATTGACCCAGTTGAAGCAAATGGATATCATTAAATTTTAGTATACCGAGGTCCTTAAAGATGGGGTCAGTATGAGCATTAAAATGTGATTTATTAATAATTCTAATAATGCGCTTTTGCAGGATAACAAGGCGGTGGAGATTAGTTTTATAGGTTGAAGCCCAAACGATATTGCAGTAGTAAAAATAAGGATAAATTAAGGAATAGTAGAGCATACGTAAAGACGATTTAGGAAGAAAGAAGCTGCATCTAGATATTATACCGATTGACTTCGCAACTTTACTTGCAACGTGTGATATTTCCGACTTCCAATTTAGGTTTTCATCCAAAATTACGCCTAGAAAATTTGTCTCCTTTACTTCAACAATATTTTGATTATCTATACTTATTTGAATATTACAAATTGAACGCTTTTGTCTTGGTTTAAAGACCATAACTTTAGTCCTTTTAAGATTTTGGGAAAGCTTGTTTGCTTTAAACCAGATTGACAGTTTGTCCATCTCCAAGTTTAACATATCTGAGAGATAGTTCAGATCTTTATGTGACATGAATACATTGGTATCGTCAGCGAACAATATCAGATTTAATAGATTAGAAGCATTGTTGATGTCGTTAATGTACAGTAAGAAAAATAGAGGTCCGAGGATAGAACCCTGAGGGACCCCACAAGAGATTTCATTTCTTAACGAACGGTGGCCATTATATTCAACATATTGCTTTCTGTTTGAAAAGTAACTTCTTATCCAGTCCAGCGCTAAGCCACGAATACCGTAATGTTCGAGTTTATCAAAAAGGATGAAATGATTTACAGTGTCAAAGGCTTTTGAGAGGTCAAGAAAAATCCCTACGGAAAATTCACCTCGGTCAAAGGCAGTGGAGATCTTATCATGCAAGTCGATTAGCGCGAGTGCAGTGGAATGATTTTTCCTGAAGCCGTATTGGTTACTACAGAGGATGTTGAAGTTCATCAGATATTGCATTAAACGATTGTAGATAACTCTTTCAAAGAATTTTAAAAAGCTGGGAAGCACCGAGATAGGTCGGTAGTTGGTGAAAAGCGACTGATCATCAGATTTAAAAATAGGTATCACGCGAGCGATTTTACTTTGGCAATACTAACCGTTAACTATATACTTCCCTTAATTTAAAGTTCACGTCTCAGAAAAATAAGGACCTTAAAGGAAAAAATGACGTTACATAGTTAAAACTCAGCTCCTAGAAAAATCTTAATAGCATTAGTCTAAGAATGGGCTTTCTTTTTCCATGTTGGGGTGCAGGGCTCTTTTCCATATCACTGAAAAGCAGCTGGAAGAGATGATAGAAAAAAATTGAGAAGTTTAAACTACCACTAAATCATCATAGGCTTATACTTGACTTTCAGCATCAGAACCCTCCCAAGTTACCAGTCACCATAAGAGCTGTCATCTCTTATTATTGCTCAGTGTGGACAATTGAGCAGGGAAAATTAGTGATGAATTGGTAGGCTAAACTGACTATACCGTTCTACCTCTTACGTAGGAAAAGTACCAAACCATGGCTCAACCACGCAGAATGACTGATGGCATTGCAATTGTGGACTACACAAAGCTCAAAATCCAAAGGACCCTTGGACGTGGAGCGTTTGGAATAGTTTATGTTGCTGAGTACCTTGATCGCGTGCAAGGACCAGTGGTGATGAAACAGATCTGCGAACCAATCAACGAGGATGCAAGAAAATTGTTCATGAAAGAAGCCAAGTTGCTAAATGGCCTCCATCATGATAATATCGTCAAAATGTATGGTATCTGTGTTCGGCCCCTTGTTATCATTATGGAGTATGTATGTTTTGATTTTAAACCATTCTTAAACAAAAATCTGAAGATTAACACCGTAGACAAATTTCTGGCAGAAGTATTCAAGCTGTCTAATTTGGAGAAATGGTTTGATCCGTTCATTCCGGCAATTGCAACAGACATAACAAAAGGACTATCATACCTCCATAATCTTGAAATTGCCCACCGTGACCTAAAGCCAATGAACATATTGATATCTAATCAACATTACTGTGACCTTGATGATGGCCAGGAAATTAAACGCCGGCTTATGTCAGAAAAACCTATCATCTGTAAACTGGCTGATTTTGGTGAAAGTCGTTCACAACTCATTCAAACAGACAAACGAAATAATCCCAGCACCAACCACTTACAAAGAGGGACGACTCCTTTCATGGCGCCAGAAATAATTTTACCCGAAGGAGTGTCTTATCTAGGGTCTTCACTGTCTTTGGAAGACTTGAAAAGAGTCGACATCTGGGCTCTTGGGCAAGTGTTTTACTGTCTGATCAATCCTGGTGTTTCGTATCCATTTGAGCGAGAGGGAGCTGATGTTAGTCAGATCATGCTAATGCATCGACAACGTAAACGCCCGTCTGCCGATCCGAAGTACCAACCCAAGCAGACCACAGTTTGGTCCCGAGTGCATGCTGCTTTTGAGGCTTGTACAAAGCACAATCCATCTGAGAGACCTAGCGCCACTGGAGTCTTGGTTGTTCTTCATTCTCGTCGCTATGGAAACAGACACGGCATAGGTAAAATTAACTTCGTTCAATCTTTACTTTGTTTTACACACATAACGCCTGTCATTGCTGATGTAGGGCAAGACACCTGTGATGACACTGGACAATGGCCACTCCCTTTCAAAACTATACCTTAAAGTGCCGTCTATAGGCCCATATGCCCTTCCAATTAACCAAATTCTATTAACATTTCAATGATGATAGATTTAACGGGTTCTCAGTAATCAGTTTTTCGGTTTCCCTTCAAGATGGTTTAGGAAACCCGTACTTAAGCAACCTTATAAGGAACTATTCTGTGCATCTTACGTAGCACACACACACAAAAATTACACTTGGGTAGCGAAAGCAGATTATTTTCTTTTGTATTTTCAGGTGCTTCTCCCCCAGAACAAAAACCCCCTGAAAGAAGTCACCTGCTAGGAAGACCATCCCACGCGCCAACCGTTCAGTGGTATGTTAGTGAGCAGGGTGAAGCAGCTCTTAAATACGTTTTTGACGAGCTATCCCAAATAGCTACCAGTGAGGTCAAAATGAGTCGCAGCAAAGTGACCCAAGACATTTCAGTAAGATTCGCATACGATGGGCAAGGATGGGAAGCTTTGTTTCCTTTTGATTTTCCACAATCTAAGGCAACTTTAGTCTGCAATGGAAAGGAGCGTCAAAAAGTGGGTGGAGACGCTTTCGAAAGTGCTGTTAAAGGCATAATAGGTGTGTTGATCTCCTCGGTAAATCGGCCACTGACTCCCAGCCAAGAAAACCCTGCTTACGAGCCCTGCGTTCAGTGGTACTCTGGTGATCATGGGGAAGAAGATCTGAGATGCGTTTTCAATGAGCTAAGCAGGATCGCTGACGGAGAGGTGAGCATGAGTCGTAAGACTGACACACAAGATATTACAATGACATTTGAACGTAATGGGCAAACTTGGCAAGTACAATTTCCCCCTAATTTTCCCAGATCTAAGGCGAATTTGATGCGTAATGGACAAGCGCGTTGGAAGATTGGGGGTGAGGACGTGAAAGCTTCCGTCGAGGCTTTGTTAACTCACATCTTATCAGAGAAGGAGCCTGCAGCAACAGAGGCAATTGCACTGGCGGCCCCGAGGGGTACTACACAGTGGTATGCTGGTGACAAAGGGGAGGCCGCGCTCAAGCGAGTTTACAATGGACTAAAGGAGAATGCTGATGGAGAGGTGAAGATGAGTCGCGATACAGACACTCAAGATATCAAGATGCGTCTTGAGTACCTTGGGCAAAGATGGCAAGTCATTTATCCGCCCAATTTTCCAAGATCTCCTGCAACATTGCACCGAAATGGAGAAGAATACGTAAAGGTTGGTGGGAACAGCGTTGAAACCGCTGTCACTGCGATTGTAAATCACATATCAGGGCATGGGCACACTGAAATTATGAATGAAGTCTGTATGTCTGAAATGCCAACTTGTGCACATGCTCAGTGGTATTCTGGTGACCAAGGCCAGGCGTCACTGAGGTACGTTTATGAAGAACTGGGCCGAATCGCCGACGATGAAGTACACATGAGCCGCGACACAGCCACAAAAGATATTACGTTGAGTTTTAACCGTCATGGACAACAATGGGCAATCAGATTCCCTTCAATTTTCCCAAGCTGCAAAGCGAACTTGATTTTCAATGGAGAAGTTCACGCGGAGGCTGGCGGCAGTACTTTGAAAACTGCTGTCACTGCGATTAAGAATCGCATTTTATCCGTAGATCAACCTGGAGCCAAGACTTTGTATTGGAAGCGTACATCGTGTATTCCTAGCTGAAATATACTCGTGATGATTCCTATGTGGTCTTAAATTGGCCAACATCAAACTATATTTTGATTACATTCGCCAGTTCAATAGAAAAGACTGAAAACGGATTATTTACAGGGTGGCAAAGGGTTTTTCCGTGAAGCGTGATGGAACCCAAATTATCAGCGTGACGCGTGATGGGGCTCAAATTAGCCGCGTGACGCGTGGTTGGGCATATCAGCGTGATGCGTGATTTACTATTTTTACAACGCGTGACGCGTGATTTTCCTTTGAAATTTCCGTGATGGAACTAGAAACAGAAACATCAAAATACATTCTTATGACACCAACTTCCTGCCCTTTTTTCTCCTTTCTCGACGTCTTTTTCCGTGACGCGTGATAGCATTAAAAAATCGACGTGATGCGTGATGCGTGATAGGTACCCTGTATTTAGATATGATAACCAGCGTTTCAGGAGATTAATTTTATTAATTTGCCTTTTGTGAAGGGTAAAAATAAGTGGAGCCTAGTTTTATTCAGGCACTCCCCTCAAAATCTTTGCTTGATTCGAAGATACAATTCAAATGTTGCAATTTTTCTCAATTTGCCAATTAAGTAGGTTTCCTATAGTAAGAATTTGCTGATGTCAAAATTAACACCAGCGCGTCAAAATATTGCTTGCTATTTTAAAAAGTCACATGACATGTGCAGGTAATTTTGGGTCCACAAAAAGAAAAGCTACCCTTTAAAAAGATTAATTTTAGCATATATTTTTCACATAAGGCCTACAGAGCGTTTTCACTCGCCAGGCCAGCACCTTTGCAAATTTATTGGAACAAAAGAAACTTTAAAGTAGAAAACACCATTATGATAAACGTGACGCCAAGTGAAAATGCTCTGTAAGGAGTTAAAGGGGCTGAGGGTTAGTTCTCGGGTTTTTTGGCTTAGCAAAGATTTTTAAATAGCCTCATATATGGTTCTCAAGTGTTTTCGAAGCAGCTAAACAAATTTTTTCCCAGTCAGTAGGGCTTAAAATCTTATAAGATACGGCCTAAAAGCAAAACCAAATCCCAGACTGATTTTTTGGATTAAGGGGATTTCATTTCGTTTTTCTATCTGTTTCCAGTTTAAGGTTTACGTTTCTGGCAGTCTTTCTTCAGGCAATGAAAGTAAAAAAGCAGTTCTATAATGGAGAAAAAAACTCTATTTTTTGTTGACTTTAAATTTTTATGCTAATGTAGGGACCTGCAATTGGACTCCAAGACGAGGTTGACAAGGAGGACGAAATTTTCCTAAAATTAGGTAGTGCAACCCTGTAATCGAATCAGCGTCATTTCGACGGGCGTGAAAACCCGTGTCTTATAGCCTTAGTTCGTTATTCCACTACCTAATAGTTTACTTTCTTAGTAATATTTACTGTACAACTAGTTATCTTATTTTGAAGGGTTCTTCTAGCTGTCAGATCTTGATATACAGAGTTCCCCTGTGTTAGGATCAAAATATAAGCTTTCTGTGTTACTCATGTTCTCCATCTTATTTTTATTTAAATTCCCCTCCGAAAAAACACATTTTGTCACTTATAACGTCCGTGCCCTCACGTGTAGATATTTGTATAATGTAAACTCCACTCCTTTCATTTGTTCGTTACCAAAGCGGCGATGGAAATAGAAGTGATGAGGTAAAATGAAAGTAGCTGACTTTTAAATATATTCAAACCAACAACTACAGCATAAAAGTGACTACGTATGCATTCGAAGAATTGTTTTCGTGTTGTATATGGAGTCAATTCCAAGAAAATTGGGAACAGAATATCTTAAGTCAGCTTCGCCCATTTTTGTAAAGCACGATAATGCATAAAAATATCTTGTTGTTTTTTACTTTCCCTGAAATGTTTACGTACAAAAAAATCGATGTCTTGAAGATTGCCTGCTTAATAATCAAGAATGCAATTCACAGTTCTGGTCGAAGTTTACCGCAGCAAATTAAACCATGACTAACCTATGCAAAGTATTTTATGCTTCAATCATTCATGTATTCACTTTGTTTTGTGAAAAATGTTGCATCATCCTTTTCACAGAGAGGTTTTCCCAGAATTGGGCTTTTGCAAAATTGAAACTGGTAGAACAAATAGAATGAATGTAGTCAGAAAACTCGTGTCTCTAAAGACTTAGTTCGTTATTCTACTACCAGTTTTAGGGATCGAGAAGGTCGTCGCTGCGGAAATTAAATATCGAGTTTGTCTTTTTGGGATCAGGAGATCGAGGACTTAAACTCCTTCAGTAATCGTTCTAACTTTTCACTATGGTGGAAAAAGTACATTGGAGCTTTCCGGGGTGTCTATTTTCTTAGTAAAAGCGGACAAAACTTCAAGTGATCAAATCTCGTCCTTGCGTCCTTGAATTTAAACGTCACTAATAATAAACAAGAGCTGAATGAATAAGAAGAGACAGAAATAAAAAATGATGATACGCGCACATTTTAAGTCAACATATAGTTAGTAATATTTACTGTAGAACTAGTTATATTATTTTAAAGGGCTCTCTAGCTGTCAGACGATTTGCTGTTTTGATCGGTTTAAGGCAAGATTAATTTCGACAGTCAAGAAAGAGACATTCGGATGGGGTGCTTTTTGACGTGATATTGAAGAACGGTGAAATTTGCTTTGACCATAATAGTGGGACATTTTAAACATCATTTTTCTTTACCAGAGGTATATAAAGTTGAACTCCATTTCTTCAGCAAATACTCAAATGGTCGCTTGTACATGTTGAGGTTCCGAGACCGGTGTGAGACAATTTCATCAAATCATTCAGAGAATTTTTATGTTTTTTTTCTTAATGTTTCAACTATTGCACCTCACAGTGTCGTGAAAATTACTCAATAGAACGTGATGTCTGCATGCGGGTGATTGGCAAAGTTTATTTTCCCTCTTCCTGATGATATGATGCAAAAAAAATTTCAGAGTTAAAATCACTCGATAACCACGCGTACGTTTCTGGTATATCACAGTGAGCGATCATAATATATGACGCGGCAGAAATGTTCGGAGTGAACCACTCCATAAACACGCTTGGGTTCCCCGGTATATATCACAGTCTAGAGCGAACATAGCATCAGTGACGCAGAAGAAAAATATTGAAAGTTAACCACTTCATAACCGCGATTACGTTTTCCAGTATATATATCACAGTTCTCTATAACAAGGCTAAAACTGCGCTTAACAATTATCTTAACAACAGTAAAGCAAAATTAATCATCCACTAATGAAACCTTCTGTCCACGCTTAGTCATTAAGATGTAAAGAGTTCAAGTCTGCCTGTGGCTACATCAGTCAGAAGTTTGGGGGTTTAGACGTGCTAAGCTTCCCCGTTGCAGGGTCGAAATACAGCTCATCAGCTGGCCTTGATGTCTTCAGTTTTCCCGTCGTGGGATCAAAGTACAGGTTTTCAGCTGGCCTTGATGTACCACGTTTTCCCGTTGAAAGATCGACATACAGGCCATCAGCTGGTCTTGATGTCTTTAGTTCTCCCGTTGAAGGATCAAAGTACAGGTGGTTAGTTGGTTTTGAATTTTGCATTTTGAAAATGAAGAGGTGTTTCTTCGGACTTGCGCGGTTCTAGCGTGAGCTACGTGGCTCTAGGTACAATGTAGATTACAACGGGATGTCTCCTTGCTAATTCAGAGTACCCTTCCATCTATGCCTTTAGTATTACGATATTCGTGGAAATGTTTTTCCTTTTTATTTGTTTCACTTTTCCAAGAAGACCGAAACAGTAGTCTCAATGTCACTTGCCCCGCCCTCAATTCAGAAGTCAATCTGCAAATCGATTAGTTTATTTTAAGAATACCAGATATATACCTTCAGGGGTTTTTCATGTGCGAGTGGAGAGCGTTCCGATATCGTTTCAATTTCCACGTACTAACGAACAGATCAACAGAGTAACTGACTTAATTTAGTTTTCTCGTTGTCTGCATGACGCCTGTATGAATCATTACAGTTGACTCAATTCGTGGAAAAAGAGGAACAGACAGTCAAGAATACACTTACGCCATAGAGCAAGATAAACAGAAATGTGATATTTTTGTCTCAGTGTATTCAGTTTCTATTTACATTTTTCTTCAAAGAAAAGTATATTTACAGAAAAGGTTGTCAGTCGAAAATCAAAGATTTATACAGTACAATCTGAGTTACTACCAGTTCTCGCCTTAAAATTAGCAGGGACGTAAGGCTGTTATAGAAACTGTCACTATATTATGCGCTGCTCGTTTTGATTTTAATTAATTTATGTACATACTAATATCTTAAAAACACACTTCGTGGATGCAGTTTTCCAAGAATTTAAAAAACGTGTGGTTAACATAATATATACTTTCAGAACGTTTCGCTAGAAATTTCGGAACCTGCTTGTCAATTTCCGACACTGTGATCCGTGGCCCTCCTCTGCATGTCTAAGTCACTGTCCATTTTTTCCTTTATTTTCATGCATTCTCAATGACAGCTTTGAATTTTAATTTTTGATATAAATCGAGTGTTTTCACTCATGTGGCCAGCATATATGCAAATGTATTGGAACAAAAGAAAGCGTTTGCATAAGAAAAGAGTTCAACTCCCACAGGATTGGTTTGGGACTGCAACATGGCCGCCGTTTCATTGTTTTGGGACACAAATGTGGCCGTCGTGACGTCAAGTGAAAACACTCTATACATCCAAACGTCCAAAAGTATTTGACAACAATTTTCGAGTGTATAGAATGTCACATATTTATATATGGTGAATTGAAGCAAAATTAAGTAAAACAACACTATAAAGTCTATGAAACTTAATATAAAATGAAAGAAATGAATAGATCTCTTATTTTAGCTTGTATGTTTTGTTTTCCTAATACAGGACATGTGATAATACTCCAGGGAACTGTTTCTCTCAAATTTCGTCTTTATCACGCGGCATATGTATGCATAATTTATGAAAAGACAATGGGTCAAGTTTCCCTGTCACCTCTATTGGGAAAACAAAACATACAAGCTAAAGAGGTGTATTGATAAAATGAAGAAAACCGAGAAAACATTGATAATGAGTGTACTCATGCTGATCACAAGATTCTAAGAAACAGTTCTCTTTAAGAAATCAACGAATTCTTGATTTAAAATTACCTGACAATAAAGTGGCCATGTTGCTGGTCAATACAAAACAAAAATACTTTTTCGAAGAATTTACATGGAAATAGAGTCAAGTTCCCAGCAAACGTAACAGAAATCAACGGCGGATTTAGGGTGGGCGCAGGGGGCCCCGGCCCCCTCTTTTGTCTGGGAATTTTTTTTCTTTTCTAAACGTGTGTCGGATGGTACTTCGAGCTAATTATTACTTAAATATATTTTCTTTAAATAACATTATTAATAAGAAAATTTATCGAGCGTTGTCTTTGCCGGGAGATTGTGCTCTCGCAGCAATCGATCGCTTCGGCCCCTGCGTTAATTACTAGTTCGACCACAACCACACCAGTGGTTTAATAAATATTTCAGCATTACATGTTCAAAATGGAATCCTCGCATTTACTAAATTTAAGCGTCCAGAATGCACTACACTAGATTCCATTTTCAGAGACTTTCAATCTCAAAAATTTTCGCGGAGGAGCATGCGCCCGAAACTCCCTAGAAAAGTACGCTGTTCGAAGTCTTGATGCGCCATATCGCCACTGTTTTCTATATCTCTAGGGCCCCTTTTTCACAAAATCCTCCGTCCGCCTCTGGAGATGCTTTTGTTCAGTTAACGACCACCATGGCCGCCATAACAGTTCAAGTGCAAAGTAGCAATAGTTAGACAAAGTAAAAAGTAACTGAAAGTCAAATGATTCGCAGTGATATTTTTAAAGATGAAGGGAGTAATAATTTTTGGCTTAATTTCTTCCAATGATTTTCGACATTTGAGAACATCCAGACAGAAAGGAAAGAAACACCCACATCAGATGCAAAATGTTCGACTATCTTAACCAATTTGATAGATTTTAATCGCATCTATTATCCACAGTTGTTTTTCTCACTTGGCAATAAAATCTATTTGTTGAATGCTTAAACACAAAATAACGTTTTGAAACCTTCAACTTGATAACCCAGCCCAGAAATCCTGCATCCACCATGACTATGTATGAAAAAGTGGATAAAGATGACTGACACGTTTTACTGGACATGTTCAAAATTCTTTAAGTTTAAATGTGTACGATACCTAGATATTACAACAAAATCGCAAAAATTGTTCAGTTTCACTTTGATAATATGGCGTAACGGTGGATAACAACTTACATTGTCGCTACAGGCCAGAGTTCATTTCTAAGGCTATTCTTCTTAAATGTCACCTGGCACTTTCAAAATATTAAATTTTATCGCAAATTCAGAAAATAAGCCACTGTCTGTAATTATACGTCTTCTCACAAATGTTGTTTTTCAGGGATGTTACTGTAGCTCATCAGTCGAGGTCCAGCGCACAGCTGTTGGGACTTATCTCCAAGGGCACTGTTATATAGCCGTTCTCTGTTCCATGTCTTCCCAGATTGAATCCAAAAAAACCTCCTGACCCTTGCTTGTTCATATCCACCGCTATAGCTTTGTCGTTAGAAGGTCTTGATGTACAGAGTTTCCCTGTGGCAGGATCAAAATATAAGCTTTCAGTGCTACTCATGTTCTCCATCTTGTTTTTGTTTAAATTCCTTTCCGAAAAAACACACTTTGTCCTTTAAAGTCCGTGCCCTTTGGTGTAGATATTTGTATAAAGTAGACTCCACTCCTTTTTTATTCGTTACCAAAGTGGCGATGGAAATGAAAGTAACAAGGTAAAATGAAAGTGGCTGGCTTTCAAATACATTCAAAACAACAAATAGAGCAGTGACTACGTATGCATTCGAAGAATTGTTTTCGTGTTGTATATGGAGTCGATTCCAAGAAAATTGGGAACAGAATGTCAAGTCAACTCCGCCCATTATTGTAAAGCATGATAGTGCATAACAATATCTCGTTGTTTTTTACTTTCCCTGAAATGTTTACGTACAGAAAGGTCGATGTCTCGAAAATTACCTGTTTAAAAATCAAGAATACAATTCACAGTTCTGGTCAAAGCTTACAGCAAACTTTTTAAACCGACGTTTAAAAAGTGTTTTATGCTTCAACCATTTATTTATTCACTTTGTTTTGTGCAAAATTTTCCATCATCCTTTTCACAGAGAGGTTTTCTCAGAATTGTTTTTTTCCATAATTGAAACTGGTAGAACAGATAGAATAAACGTCATCAGTAAAAGGCTCAGCGTCGTTGCGTGACATTGCTAAGATTTCAAGTTTCCAAGAAAACATTAGAGATTCATCTGAGTATCAACTGAGTACAGAGACAGAGATTGAAGGAAGAGTGTATTTGTCCGCAAGGAGATTTCAAACTTTTTCTTCAAGATGTTCGGATGGTGTGGATATGGTAGTTCTCAAGACAACAGAGAGTTCAACGTTGTGATCTACGAGAATGATTACAAAGAACTTTGTGCGTGGGTGCTGAGAAAACCGCACATTGAAACAGGCGGTGATCTCTTTGGTTTATGGGCTAACAAATACACTGCTGTCATCCAACTTGTTCTTGGTCCCGGTAAAGGGTGCAGAAGAACTTCAACCTCTTTCTACCAAGATGTGAACTACTTGGAAAAAGTCGGCACGCATCTGACACAGAAGGAAGGCATTTGCCATATTGGCGAATGGCACTCACATCACCAACTTGGCCTTGCGCGACCAAGCGGGGGAGATGAAAACACTGTGTGGAACAACATGCCAACCTACAACCTGACGAGGTTCGTGATATTCATTGCGAACATAGACCACTTTGGGCAGTCATACAGCGTCAATGTTGGTTGCTTTCTGTTTGAGATCGATAGCAATGGAGAACAGCTTCCTGTGCTGCGAGGAAAGTTCAAGATTCTAAACCAAGAAAGCCCTTTTTTTGGAAAATCGGAAGTAATTAAGTTTAAACAAAAAGGAGAAGAAAGCACGAAAGGGGATGAGTTCAACGTCGGTATCACGGATCTAACTCCAACAGATGGAAAGTTTTCCATTTACATAAAACAGAAGAAGAGAGTTGGGCAAGGGAACGCACATGCGCAGAGTAGTCAACCACAAAAGAAGAAAAATAGGACCGATCCGCCTACCACACAACCGACGACTGCACAAAGCCAGGCGGGCAAGGGAAAGGACTCAGAAGCTTCAAGCGTCCCAGGGAAAAATAACCTTGAAGATCCAAAAACAAATGAGGAGGAAGTGGAAAACCAAAAACAACAAGAAGAAAGAAACGAACCACCAGAGCAGGGGGACTTGGAAACCTCTAATAAAGAGGACAGGAATAATCAAAACGGTGCAAATAAAACAGATGAGAGCGGAGAAGCGCTCTCAGAAAATAAAGAAAACTCGGATATGCAAGGAGGCAACATGAAAGGACAAGAAAACTTTCAAGCCCCCGGAATTGAACTGAAAGAAAACCAGGACCAACAGTCCCAGATAAACCAAGGAAACAGCATTGGTATCAAGGCTGTTGATCAGGGAAGTGACAAAGCGCAAAATCAATGCGAGCAAGTCAGCAAAAATCAAGAGCAAGAGCATGAAGGAGGAGGCGGTAAAATTGAAGAAACAACCCCTGGTACAAGCGTCGACCATGACAGGGCCAAGAATCTAGCTTCGAACACTGAGCCAGCAAATAACTCACCAGCTATGCCACAGCACAATCCTGGTGAGAACGAAGGGTCTAAAACCTCTGGATATGCAGACATGGAGAGCAAACAAGAAGATACCAAAGCCAATGAAAATGAAGGAAAAGTACAAAAAGAAGAAGACGAACAGATGAAAGAAGACGAAGGAGTGGAAATTCAAGCCCTTAACATTCAAGATCAAGTAAACCAGAGTGATGATACTAAAGAAGACCCGAAAAAGCTTAAGTCTCCAGCCATGAAAAGGAAAAATGCACCGACAACATCACAAGGCCATCTGGACGAGGAGGGGGTTTCGCGACCTGACATAGAGGAAGAAAAAGAAACTCATAGAGAAACCAATGGGAAAGAAGTAGCCGCCAAGAACAGTGGAATAGAGGAAGAAGAAGGCGAAGGAGTACAAAAGAAAGGAAACCCAGATGCTCACTCAAAAGAACTACAAGGAAACCTCGGCACCAAAACCAAAGACCATGACAACGGTGAGACGCAGTCTTCAGAGAGAGAGAAACAAGAGAATAAAACTGAAGTTAAAAACAGCAGCAATTATGAAGGAAAACAATCGAGTGAAAGCCTTGATAACAAAGGAAAACAGACGCTGGAGAATACTAAGAAAAGCACCAAACAGGAGAAAAGCCTTGACCCTAAGAAAGGATCAACTTCTGGCCAAGGGAAAAAAGAAGAAAAGAAAAAGAACCAAACAGGTCCAAATCCAAACAAAAGTCCTGGTACAAGAGGAAAACCAATACAGGGGGCGGCATTACCTCCAGCCGCGTCATCGGGAAAGAGTACGCCTCCAAAACAAAGTGCTAAAACTAACCCAAAAAAACCTGGAGTAGCAAGAAACGCAAAGTAAACCGCCACCTGAGGACAAAGCAGGCAATTAAAAGCTTAAGTGCGACATATATTTAGGAAAGTTCCGTTATCGCAGAAATTTCATGTTCTTTTTTCTAGTATTTGACATTGACGAATGTTTCATCTTAAAAGTTTGTTGCGTTTTCTGGGAATCCTATATGAGAAGCATTTTGAATAAATAGGTAAATGAATTTAATAATCAAAAACGAAACTTTTAGTTTGAATTTTATTCTCTAGTAATTTGTCCAGCCATTAAATTGTTTTCTAAAATTTAAAAAAATCTGGAAGGCTGTGTTTGTTTCTAAGTGTCTTGCTGGGAGAATTTGATAAGTTAAGACCCCATCTCTTTTTATTAATATTGCCGGCAACGCATGATTTGGGAGTCAGTATCTGGCAAAAACCCTGAAAGACATTTAATGGTAGAACGGATAGGCCATGCATCAAAAGGGCTCATCACGTAATACAGCGTATAACCCTCTCAAAAACCTATTTCAAAAGCGTAAAGTGTTTGTAGTTTGGTAGCTAATACGAAATTACAATATTAGAAGTGGTCAGCTTTGTAGACCTGACCGACCGAGGACACGCACTTGCTGTGGCGACTATGAAACCTTCAACTATGCCACAAACTATTCACCTCAACGGCATCCTTAACAGGTACTACATCTGATGCTATCGCAACCGTCTCATTCCCCTCTCCGGAAAAAAAAAACTGAGTATATGATCTTAAACGTGGTTGCTTCTTTGGCCGTTGCAGGCAACTAAAGTGACCTTGTTAGTCAAGTCTATATTCGTCTATTCAACTAGATGTCTGGGTGTCGAACTGGACTGTAAACTTAATTGGAATATTCATGTTACCGATCTGATAAAAGTCATTCACACAAAAACTGAATCTTTTGAGATCTTAACACTTTTTACCTTCCAAAGTCAACGCTGATTTTTATTCCAACATCGTTTTGCCTTCTCTTATTTATGCCTTAGTCGTGTGGCGATCTTGCGAAAAAAACCTTCTTTTAGAAGCTGGAAAAAATCCATGTTCGGGCTGCTAAAATTTCTATTTTTGGTTGAGACTGGTACACTTCGAGCGACAAGGTGCTAGATCATGCGAACTGGTTTTCATCAAATAACCTATATGATCTAATCTTCTTATTATTAGCCTATAAATGTTTTCACCAATCCGGCCACCGAAACTATCCAGAATTTTTTTAAAAAGTACAATATTTATTGCAGTTATAATTTACGAAGAAAGCTTACGTTTGAGATAGCTTTTCCCAAGACAGAGCTACTTCGCAAGTCCAGCTTCTGCAAAGCACTAACATTGTGGAACTCTCTGCAGAGTCACACAAGGGAAGTATAAAGTTTTGACTCTTTTAAAAGGACATTGAAAAGTCGGCTTTCTAAGTAAATAGTTTTAGGCTTTGAATTTTGTTGTAAACAGTTTTTTTCTGACTGTTTTAATGATTTCGACATATCAAACGGAGGTGAAATAAACGATCTTGTACCTAAGATTTAGAGGTTCCATTGCAATCAAATGATAAATTGACGATGAAGGATGAAGTTGTAAACTTGACAGAGTAGGAACTGTGGGAACACTCCATAACGAATATTAATAATTAACTTGTGTTTCAGTATAAACGGAGATTACAGATATCCAACAAAGGTCGAAAATCATTGACTAACAACCGGCAAAGGGAAAGTGAACATGATCATCGCAGTAGAATGAGCAAACCTAAGCTGTTAAAAAAGAAGCTGAAAAAATTCAGGCTTGACTGGGAATCGCCCCCTGACCTTGGCAATGACCAGACGCAATGCTCTCTCTCGTTACTGAAATTTTTACTGACAACCCGCCCACAACCCCCATTTCAGAACCTGACTAATCACTTTTAGTAAAATCCAACCAGTGGTCTATTATCAATGCTACGTTCTGATTGGTTGAGCTACTACTAGGCTATATGTTATAACCTACTAGTAGCGAAAAGCGCACGCTTTTTGGCGGCAAAAAGGATTGAAGTCTAGCTTTAACTAGCTAAAATTTTTTTTATTCACGATATTTTTGACCAATTAGTTAGATTTTACTAAAACAATTATTCCTCTCGCCCTCATGGCCTCTGAGTCAATAGCCCATTCGGCCTTCGGCCTCATGGGCTATTGACTCAGAGCCCATTCGGGCTCGAGGAATGATTGTTGAATAGCGGAGCTCACGCGCAAAGCGCGCGTAGCGGAGCACCATGGGTAAGAAAATTTGGTTATCTATGTATCCGAGATATTTTGGTAGTGACTTTAGTCAA